TTTCATTTGCAGCCTCTGACCTTAATTATACCTGAGATACAAGACCCGACACAGAGGGGCCTTTAGAGTCTCACTTTGCTGACTGTACTGCTCCGTTACCTCCTGCATTTAGAAACCATTACACCAGGAAAACACACACACACACACACACACACACACACACACACACACACACCAAGAAATGGCTCAATCAATAAATTCAATTTTCTCCCGCTGACATGTGAGGCTGTGTACCCATGCCCGGTGGCCTCGGAGCATCCACCTCTCTGGTGGACAGTAAAAGCTGTTATGTAATCTCTGTTAAAAAAAACTAAAGTTTCCACTGACTCAAAAAAACTTCTCAAGGTGTAGGGGACACTGCAACAGCTGACAAAGGGAAAAACTGAGAGCTGTCACCGCTGCGCCCTGAGATTTAGAAATTACAGTCCAGCCTCTGAATGAACAGTCACATGACAGCTGCAGGAAATTCAAGACGCTGAAGCTGTGTATGAATTAGAGCCAGTTTATTTTAAGTTTGTGTTTTTACAGTAAACCAGCAAGTGTCTTACGGGAGCAGAAGAGAGAGAGTACTGTTTGCCTGAGTGTTGACCTCTGACCTTTCAGATCACCCTCACGACCATCGGCTACGGTGACAAGACCCCGCAGACGTGGACGGGACGGCTGTTATCAGCCGGTTTTGCTCTGCTGGGAATCTCCTTCTTCGCTCTGCCAGCTGTGAGTCAAACACACACACTGGTTCAGGAGATAGAGCGGGTGGTCCGCTAACCCGAGAGTCTGCTGTTCGATCCCCGGCTCCTCCAGTCTGCATGCTAGAGCGTCGTTGAATCCCAAACGGCTATTCTGACAATGTTTGACGTGTGTGTGTGTGTGTGTGTGTGTGTGTTCAGGGCATCCTTGGGTCAGGTTTTGCCCTGAAGGTGCAGGAGCAGCATCGACAGAAACACTTTGAAAAGAGGAGGAACCCAGCAGCCAGCCTTATCCAGGTACACACACACGCAGCAACCAAACACACTTCACCTTCACCGATGGTTTTATCTTTCACAGCAGCAGCTGAGGACCAGTGTGTGTGTGTGTGTGTGTGTGTGTGTGTGTTTACACTCTTTACCCTCTGATGAGTGTGTTTTTATCATCTCCTCCTATCAAGTGTTCTGAATATGAGTAGTATTCAACACTGAATACAGTAAAACACTAGTATTCAGTGTTTTTCCCTTCTCCGCACTGTCGGGTGTGTAGCTAATTGTGCGTGTGTGTGTGTGTGTGTGTGTGTGTGTGTGTGTGTGTGTGAGGACCGCTGTCGTCTCTTAAGTTCCAACAGCAAAAACACACTGCTGGGATTTATGAGCCGTTTCCATGGCGATCATTCCCTGTCAAGAGCAGCAAGTGTGCTATTGTGCATGTGTGTGTCTCTTGTGTTCACATGTGTGTGTCTCAGAACATGTGTGTGAGTCTTTGTATCTGAGTGTGTGATCTGTCCACTTCACGTCCCAAAGAAAAATCCAAATTCGTACAATCCGAGGCCAAGTGATTTCAGATAATCTATAATTTATGAAAGGACAGATCTTAGCTTCGTGTCAGACCATCGTGTGTAGCAGCGGTTTGACTTTTATTAAACCTGAAGAGAGCAACACAAGCAACTCAAAGAAATTCAAGGCAAAACCCTCAACGTTTTCAAAACTGCATATTTGGAAGTGAAAATAGTCCTGAAAGTGTAAACTGTGAAGTAGAATATTACATCCGTGTCCCAATGAAGGAATGTCTAGACTGAACATGTCACGTATATCATAATAAATCCATCGTGTCAGTTGTGTAATGGAGCCATTAGACGATTCCTGTCAACTTGTGAGGCAGAGAACTACGTTTAATCACGTAAATACATCACTTGAAGTGCACCAGTGGAAAAGCCACCGCAGGGCGTAAATAATGGAAACCATAAGTGTCCCTGTCTGTCTAATAACACGCTGTGTTATATTGTTAATCACTGACGGAGCTCGCCACAGATTCTCTAATGTGTCTGGCGGCACCTTCTTCATAGTGAAGCTTTTTGTTGCAGCTGCTTCTTCACCTGACGGAATTCAGGTTTGGAATTCGGAATCGAACCACAACTGCACTGTGTAAAAACATTAGGTATAACTTTTCGTGTTTATCAGAGAGGATGCATTTACTCTTCCTTCACTTCCAAATAAGAAGTTTTATGAGATATGGTTTAAAGCCTGAACCGAGCTCAGTAAAAGTAAAACTGAATTCCTCCTTTCTTATCAGTTTCTTATAAAAGAAGAATCAGAGCCCGGTTGATCCAGAATAACCCAAAATTAAGGAGCAAGTAATCCCTGTTTTATTTGCTTTGCATCAAGCCCCCGGTCACTGTTATCTGCCGATCTCTTAACATTTTCCTCCACAGGAAACCTGGACGCAGCTCTGACGTGTTGAATACGTGGATGACATTACTGTTCACCTCACTCCCCCATCTCACACTCAGCAGTTCTCCCTGCTTTAAATCACTGTGCGTCGCCGTGTTGTTTCTCCGTCTGTACGCAGGACGGGACGTTACCACCGTCCTCACGCCTGAGCTGCTGGTCAACCTGCTGCAATAACTGTTTTGTCCACCCGCTGTGGTTTTAGCCCAGAATCTCCAAATGGCTTTAAAAGTCGGGGATGGAGCAGCGTTTGGCAGGTGTCTGGTGTTAATGTCCCGCCCTGACCGTGTAAAGTGTCGATATAAAAACTTTCCAGTCATGTCACAAATGTTGTAACCACACCCGGCACCATCGTGGAGGTTCGGTCCAAGTAAATAATGGTTTTAAGGTGTAAAGAAAACAACCTGATGAGTGCATATAAATATACAGATATTTATTCAGCGGAACCACGTGTTTACATCGTTTACTTTCTAGTACATCTTGAAAAATCTCAAATATTCTCGACTAGATCACTCACCTCATCCGTTAAGACAAACAAACACACGACTAATCGCAGATACTAACTGTGCACTTCCAGTTTTCTTAATCTAACCCTCCGTCACACGAAATGAGACACAGCTACAGTCCAACCTTCAGGTCTGTACTGACGACCTCCAACATGGCTGCCAGCTGGTTACAAACCCTACAACATGCTGTGTATGTTACGTGTTCACATGAATCTCATGTTCCTCACCATGTCTGTACCATTGCCCCTGTGTGTGTCCCGCATGTGTGTTCGTGTACATGTGAACGTGTTCTGTCCGTCTCTGCTCCCTCCCCCACCCAGGCGGCTTGGCGTCTGTACTCCACCGACGGCGCTCGTCCCTTCCTCAGAGCCACCTGGCACCACTACCAAAGCGCCCTCCCCCCCCTCAGGCATGTATCCCCCACCACCACCACCACCACCACCTCCACCTCCACCTCCACAAGCACTCCCATCACCGACCCCACCTCCCTCCAACCGACCCCCCCCCCTCCCCCAATCACAATGCATCAACACTTCCCCCAAAGAAACTAATCAGCTTTTTCCTTTCCCCCCCTCCTCACTTTCCTTCTCTCATTTCAACTCATATCTTCCTCCCTCACCCGTTTTCTTCTTTGTTTTTTTCCTCCCTCACTTCCCCCACCCCCCCAAACCCCCCTCGTCCCACCCCGTTAATTGTTTTAATATCATCATTTGATTTATTCTGTCGACTCTGCATGTAGTGTGTCTGGCGTAGTTATGCTGCTGATGAGAACTCGGTTTCCATTGCTACCTGGAAGCCTCATTTGAAGGCGTTGCATACCTGCAGCCCCGCCAAGTAGGTAACAACTTACAGACTTACAAACATGGCCGCTGCTGCTCAGCCCTCCTCCTTCTCCTCCTCATCGCTCATCTTCAGCTGGTGTCTGCTCGTCTTCATCGGCGTAGCTTCAACCCCTCTTCCATTTCCCCATCGTGTAACTCCGTGTTATGCAGCATTGTGACTCTTCTTCTTCTTCAAGTAATCCTTTATTAACCTTCTTGTCCCAGTGCAGGATGTTTCCTAAGCATGGTCTCAAACACCTTTTTCACACCCATGCAGATATTTACACCTTTAGATTTACACAATGCAACATCAGCAGTTGGTGGGTGACGTACATTAGGAGTTTTTAAAGTCTGTCAATGACTTTAAAAAAGTTTATAAAGGTTTCATATGGAAAATACTCATAGGTTCTTACAAACAGGAATATGTGCAGGCGCAGGCTAATCAACATATCGACCTCTTTATTTACAGTCTGAGGTTTTCATCATAAAAAATAAATAAAAAGAATTATAAACACTATCACTCTCACGTGGCACAGATATGAAAGGTGTTAGTTCGGGTTTTGACTGACTTCGACCTCATTAAATGTGATTAAAGCAAAAATAAGTTAAATTAAAACCACATATGTTCAAACCTCACACACACACACACACGTACTATACACAACATATTTAGATCCTTACTCTCCCGATTGCCATGCCTGTCGCTCCGCTAACACTTAGCTTCCCTGTGCGCGGCCATAGCTTGCATGTGCTTGTAAATCCGTGACCTCGTTGACTCTTTCTCTTTGCTTCCGTTGGCTTTGACGCCTCCCATGTCCATTAGTGGAAATGTCTGTATAAATCTGTATGAACCTGCTGGATACTCATTTCTCTCCCTTTGTCTCCTCCTCTCTATCCCACTAACCCTTGAAGGAAAGAGCAGGGCGAGACCACGTACAGGTTTGTAATGACTCAGCTCATTCAACACACTCAACATGAGACGCAGTAAAAGGGAAAGTTCTGTCACAACATCTTTGAAACTGTGAAATCTGCTGATGCAGGTTTGTCTGTTATCATCCATTTATTATTTGAATGAAGCTTCACTGACTGGATAGTGAATTTATTGACGTTTACCTGCTAATAGTAAATGATCATTGAGGATTGTCTCCACACGGTTGGTTGTTATTGATCAGTGCTTTGTTTACTGATTGATTGATTTAGCAGATTCAAAGTCAGTGGAAGAAATGCTCAAAAATAAAAGGAGAATCCGAATGTACGCCAATATTACACATATATGAATTCTGTATAATCTTAAACCCTATTAGATGTAATTATAAATACAAATACAACCCAAATAACTTGAATTTAGAAAATATTATATTATTTCGTAAAGTTTAAACATGAAAGCACATCTTCTCTGCACTGTTTATTCTGTGAAATAAAAGTTTTCATATATTCAAAGATAAACGACAATTGAAACATGAAATTCTCATATCGACTGATTAAAAAAAAAAAAAGAAAAGATAAATCGGTCGGGCTGTTCAAGATGAATGTGTTCTGATATAAGGAAAACCAGAGGTGTCCAGTCAGCATCTTTATTATTTGAGGAACACTGGAATTAAAGAGATCAAACTTTTCTAGAGCTACTTTCAAATCATCTTGTCGAATTTTCTGCCTTTTTAAGATTTCTTCATTTTTATATTATTCTCCCACTTCACCTTTCCAACTTTTTCTCACGTCTCCATCTCTGTTGAGGCTTCTCCTCCTCCTTCCACGACCGTTTTATCTCTTTGCACTTGACTCAAGCAGGAACAGGGTGATGAGCTCCTCTGTATTTTCTGTGTGTGTGTGTGTGTGTACATGCACACACGCCTTTCAAAGACAGGAGTCTGTACCATGTCTGTACCATGACGCACTTTTTCCATTGGGATGGTATTTATATAACTCATCAAACACAAGTCGAGGAGAGACAGAGCAAAGTTGAAAGACGGGAGGGGGGGGTTCGGAGAGGGGGAAGACGACAGACAGAGAGATTTGTGACTTTAATTACACCAGTATAGTTTTTACTGTGCAGCGCTTCTTTGGCAACATTTGGGGGCCTTATGTCGAGCCAGCAGCTTCTTAGACGTCTAAACCCGACGCAGCCACACACACAGATATATAAAAAAAAGACTTTTATTCTCTCGTTGACTCAAACACGAGCAAACGAGCTTCTCATCCTTAAACAAAGCAGCATTTAATTAGGTTTCGTTGTTTCCACAACTACATCCATCCCCCAGAAGTCCTCCTGTTTATTTAGGCTCTCAGTTTAAAAAACTTAAGTCCAATTTGCACTTGTGAAATCATAATTATGCACATGTTTTATGACACCATTTCTCTCCAGGATTTTCCTCCTCCACCAAGAGAACACAGAGCGCTGTGTCATTAGTGGTTTTACAGACTGTCGGCTGCGTGCTGGCGGTAGGTGCCGCGGCGAAGGGGGCCGGTGGTTTTTGTTTTTTAAACAGACTTGTAAACACCAGCGGTCGTAAACATCAGGCACACCACAGAGTGCCACAGCGGGCTCCACACTGAGCCTGAGTGCGATGGATGTAGGGAGGGAGACGCAACATGTGAGCAGGCAGGTGTAGTGTGTAGAGAAGTGAGCGCTGAATATTGATTATCAATATGAGCAGAAATCTACATTTTAATAAAGGTTCACTCGTAGATGTCTGTTTTTTTTTCCTGTACCGCCTTGAGTTACCCTGCTGCCTTATGGGAAAATCAAACCAGCTTGAGGCCGACTCACGCTTCACTGACTGTATCTGTGTTTTGTAAAATTGCCTCACACTAAATTCACACTAAACCAGGCACAATCAGCTATGAACTGTAAACACTGCAGAGAAAATACACTCAGTATGGTCACAAATGTGTTTTACATGAAAGCCGCAGTTGTTTGTCTGCAAGAGAACGTCTCAGTGGCTCATCGTCTTCAGCCTGGACCGGCTGTCGTGCTTATTTAAACCATATATATATTCATTTATGGCAAATGTTTTAAACTTTCATTAAATAACTTATTCATTTCATTTATTTGCCATGCTAACTCCAGACAGAAAAAACAAATCTGCGTGAAATATCAACATTTATTCAGTTTCAAATGTGATCATTGGTAAAATGTGTCCGCATGTGCACACATTGCTGTTTATCTGTGTGTGGATTTGCAAATGTTCTTTTTCACACATTTGTGACCAATTTTGAGTCTAATCTCTCTCCACAGAAATCAGCCATATCTTCAGTTTCTTAACACGACTACCTCAGCTCGATACTGAACGCTTCTTTGAACGCTGCAGACTCACAGACAGGCACTCGGCCACAGTTTAAGAATTTGCTCACCACCTGTCACAGAATTATCCGCGTGTTGAAAAGATTATTCGGGTGATTTGGGAGTTTCCTGCATGACTGAGGAGCAAAACAACCGAGCAAAGTCAAAAAGAGTTGGGAAATCAGAGTCTGGGCTGAACACACTTTCAGACTGATGCTTTTACTTTGACGAGTGTTATGAATTCACATCCACTCCTCTTTTTATCTCCTTCCTCCTCTATCTCTCCACTCTTCTCCATCCGTCTCTCCCTCCTTCGCTTCTAGTAAGGGCCTAAGTAATGGGCGGCTCTTCAGAAGGTACACTCGGAAATATAGGAGGTACCTGCAGTACTACCCAGCATCCTCTCTGCCCTGAGCCCAATAACCTGTGAGAATGTCTGACTAATAGCATGGAGGAGAACAAAGACACCGAACTTTACGTCGCTCCTCAACTGAAGGGTTTGTCTGAGACCAGCTCTGCTGCCTGCTGCCCGTCCAACGCCAGCGAGACTTTAACAAATTAAAGGGGAATTTCGCCAAAATGGATATTTGATGTGGTTTTAACGACAAGTAAAGCATGAGCTTTTTAAGAGAAAGGGAAAATGCACCAGATGTTAAATTTATGTGAACATTTGCAACATCCAGTAAATGCACGTTAAGCCCCTATCTTCAAAAAATGAATAGTTTCATTGTTTTTCATTTAGAAGTTTTATATTATTTTTCTTTGAGTTTTAAAGTAGCAAAATAGAAAATAAAAGGTCTAAATTCCCCTTTATTTATTTTTTCTTAATCCGTGTTTTCCTCTTAGTTTTATCTAAAAACTACCGTCCAGCCACATGATGATCTTTTGTCTCACTCCTTCTCTTTGATTTCATTTAAACCTTCCTGGGACCAGAAGTTGGTTCATTTGAAATTGTTCTGTGACAATTTAATAAAAAGAAATGGAAGTCAAATTAAATCATAAAAACAAATCATGTGTCTGGACCCAGTTCACCTTAAATGAACCCCCAACAACGAACGTAGTGTTTATTCCGGTTCCCAGAGGCAGGTATTACAGCTTTGTCTCAGTTTGCTGCATGCTCCCTGCATCACTGCTGCTCTCCTCCTCTGCCATTAGAGATGGAAACAATGGAAATAGATAAGTATTGGTATTGTGAAGAGATCTATAGTGTGCAGCTCCCTCCATTGTGTTTAGAAAGTGTACGAGGGCAAGAAGTTTCTTCCACTTTATTGCTGAGTACAGATTTTTAGTTCTGCTTTTAAAACTTGGTGAAAATGTGCAGCACTACGTGTGAGTAAGTCAGGGAAACAGATTAAACTAATTAAAACGCTGAATGTCGGGCGATCCAGAGATTCTGGAGCAAAGTGTGAAATCGTAGCATGGACCCCTGCATCACTCTCACATCAGTCTGCTGCATTGCATGCTGGTCTATATGCCGTATAGCAGCAAATTGTTAACAGCAGCGAGCTTCATTGATTTAGAAGTTACCATATCACCTGGGAGGTTAAAGATCTAAACATCATGTGGATAGTGTGTTTTTTATACAAAATAAAATAAACTGAAAGAGGAAAACGGATAAAATAAGTTTGGTTTTTATAGTAATAGTATAAATATTAAGACCAATGTAGATGTATGTTCATTGCTCTGCAGTGTAATTACAGAGGTTGTGTAACCGCTGAAAGATAAAAAGAGTCTAATGATGGAAAATATCAAGAATCTTTAAAATCTTAATCGTGTCTGAACAGCAAAGTGAGCACATGAGTGTAATTGGTCCTGAGTTCCGAGCTGCTGGGGTCAGGATGGTGTTGGAGGGCGGTCTGGCTTTGTTCTGGAGTTTGGGGGCATGTCAGTTGGATGATGTTTGGTCTGAAGGAAAAGAACAGAACGCCGCTCTGTGTCTGCGCTCTGAACTCTGCTCACTGTCTGAGGGGAAATACGTGTTGACAGCTTTTTTCTTTCTCTCTTGTGTCTCTCCATCAACCCCGACCTCTTTCACACACTTTCTCCTTCAACCTCATCCTCCCCTCACTTTTTCTATCCTTCTCTGGACCATCGCTCTGTCTCCCTCGTCCCAAACCTTTCTCTTTGCTCCTGTGAATGTTGTCCTCTCCCTCTTTCCTCCTTCTCCTCCTCCTCCTCTTCTCCCTCCTGCAGTCAGAAGTTGAGTTTTAAGGAGCGGGTCCGGATGGCGAGTCCTCGTGGACAGAGCATGAAGAGCAGACAGGCCTCCATCAACGACCGCCCACGCTGTTCCCCTGGCAACGAGGTGGTGGGTGGCGGCGCCGAGCTGATGGGAGGGAGTCCGGCTAAAGTGCAGAAGAGCTGGAGCTTCAACGACCGGACCCGCTTCAGGCCGTCGCTGAGGCTGAAGAGCCAGACTCGCACCGCGGTCCCAGATGGTGAGTGGGACTCTGTACTTAATGTCCCTCGTTCTGTAAATGACTCACGTTTCAGATCAGTAGGTTATTTCATACAGTGTCGTTCTCCGTTTCTCCTAAAGTCTATAACCGCTCAGAAACTCAACACAAATAACTAATGCAACAGAACTTTGTCCCTTTTTTTTTCAACTAATTAGAATTAAAGTATTTGATTATTTGCAGGAAATGTGAAGTTGGATTATTTATTAAACAAGGACAATGCACAAAAACTTTTTTGAAACAGATTTTGAAATCAGCTCATTTCCATCTGCAGTCCTTGGGCAGGTACACACCTAATCTGAAACACACCAAATATAAAAACATGAATTGT